TCTGAAACAGGCTCCAGGCTCTGGGCTGGCAGTCAGCACAGCACAGAGCCTGACGCGGGGCTCGAACCCACGAACCGCGAGATCATGACCTAAGCAAAAGTCGGACGCTTAACCGACTAAGCCACCCAGGCGCCCCTGGGCTCTTCATATATACCAGGAGATATGGTCAAAATTTCAGCTCCTTCAAACACCAATGACTTGTTCTCTTATGTAAATGGCTTCTCCTTCAGTCTTGTTTTGCTTTGCTCAGAGTACACAGAGGGACATTACCATCAATACCATAAATCTGCCTCCAGAGGTTCTTGAAGCAGAGAAAAGTTTTTCAAATCACCACCTTTAAGAGCTTGCCAGTGATCCTGGCACAGAGAGGGCACCAGTAGCTATTGTCTGGTAAGTGAGTGAATGAGGAGAGAAGACAGTTGACATGGAAATACTTTGAAATGGTTGAATGACTTTAAAATACCACTCTTACTGCCACTCTTCATTTCTTCCCTTCAGTATGCTCTTAAGCATCTTCAAAATCTTAAGTAGATGGGTGCTTCAAACAAAGAAAGTCATACTTTGTAGTATGTAAGGAGAAGTATCAATTTGGTCAATTCTGAAAATGACAGTTTCTAAAGTTCATAAGAAAAAACATCATGTCTGGGGCATCTGGGTGGCTCAGCTGGTTGAGTGTCTGACTTCAGCTCAGGTCATGATTGTACAGTTGGTGAGTTTGAGCCCCACATGGGGCTCACTGCTGTCAACCTGCTTCAGATCCTCTGTCCCCCCTTCCTGCTGCCCTTCCCCCACTTGCGTTCTCTCAGAAATAAGGAAATAATTAAAAATTAAAAATAAAAACATAATATCTTAATGAAAAGAGACATCCAACACAAAAGATTATATATACTATGACCATCTCACCTCTATTCAAACAGATTAAATATGTACTAACACATCATATCTTACAAATACTTTATAATTCTACAGAAACATTTAATAATTTAATCCATACCCTCCTGATATTCAAAGTGCTTTGAACACTTCTGAATAAGCTCAGTCCAGTTCTCATTTAGTTTATAATCTTTCTGTCTCTCTCTGTCACACACACACACACACACACACACACACACACACTTTCACTGTTCCCAGTTATTTTGAAGGATTAATTTTATTCCAGAAAGGCCATCCACAATTTTGAAGAATTAAGCAACTAGATGTAAAACATTCTAAAAGAGAATATAATACAGTATGAATGAGGTGGCAGCTGGAGGGCCAGAGATTTGTGGTCCCCTTGCGAGGGAATGATAAATGGAAGTGCAGATCTCTAGATACTTCACGCCCTGCTGAAATTTTCTCTAGAAGGAAATGGTAAAATCTCCAGACTTTTTCTGAAGCTGTGGGCACTCATAGGAAAGGCAGCCTGGAGGTGTGGTGAGTTATCATCCCAGAGGCAGCCCCTAACCAATGAGAGTCAGGAATTGATGGGTGAATGTCCCAGCAACCCCCACCCCTTTGGAGGGACAAGCTGAGGTACAATGCGCACAATTCCTCATTAGTCCTCAGCAGGACTGGGCCCCAGTTGCTGACAGCAGTGAGAGCCTTTGCTGTTGTCGTCGTCTTCTGCCTTCCTGTCCCACTCTCCCCATTCCTTCTTGTCTGCTCCCTGGCATCACCTCCCAAATAAAATGCCTACATTCAAATCTTTGTCTGAGGCTCTGCTTTTGGGGGGAACCCAAACTAAGACTCAGTTGCTGAGTCTGGTTCAGGGTAAGGAAAAAATGAAATTACTGCTGTTAATTGTCTACCGTATACCCATCACTGCATTTGGCCATTCCACATGAAGACTATGTAAAAAAGCTTGGTCTTTAGAGACAAAAGGGCCTATGTTTAAACTCCAGCTGTATCTCTCTCTATTAATCTCTTGAAGCCTCAGTGTTCTCATGTGTAAAATGGAGATAATAAGACTACTTCAGATAATTCTTGTGAGGCTTATAAGCAGACATAATGGATCAAAAGCAGTGCTCTTCCATATATATGGCTTCTTTGCTGAAGTTATTTGATCTTCCCAACTCCGAGAAGTAGACATTTCCAATTTTACAGATGAGTAAACAGAGGCTCAGGGAGATAAGCTAATGTAACTTTCTCCCTTAATTCATTCCCTTCCAGCTATACTGGCCTTTTCACTGTCCTCAAACATCCTTGCCACAATCCTATCTCAAGGGAGATAGGAATTCCCTTCTCTCTGATGCCAACTTGCCTAACTAACTCCCTCACCTCCTTCCTGTCTAAGCTTGTTTTTATCTTCTCCAGGAGGTCTTCCTGGTCACCTTATTTATTACTGTCCTCCTTCCCATGGCTCCCCAGGTCTCCAAAGCTTTTATTTATATTCTTGCCTTTACCTTATTGCTTCCCTCCTTGTAGCTTCCTGCATATTTTTAAAATACTTCTTTGAAAGTTTTGTTCAGACTGTGCTATTATCTCCAATTCTTTGGGTACAAAACTAGGAGTTTGTTACATCTGCCAACCCTCTCTTATGGTGGCTAATTTCTCTATGTGTTTTGTAATTTTTATTGTGAGCTAATCTACAGCAGTAGACATGTTCCTTGAGAGTCTGGGTGCTCTGGGTTTAGTCATCCTAAAGGGATGGGTTTTATGTTCGATTCTGCCAAGATCCTAAGGGAACCACAAGTTCTAGACTACTTACTTTGTGCATTAATTTCTTGATTTGGGTTTTTACATATTTAGATAGTGTAAAAAACAGGACTAGGTTAACTATTCCCAGGGGACTTTTTTTTCCTTTCTTTCTTTTTTAAATGTTTATTTTTGAAAGAGACAGACAGACAGACAGAAAGACAAAAAGAGCATGGATGGGGGAGAGACAGAGAGAGGGAGACACAGAATCTGAAGCAGGATCCAGGTCCTGAGCTGTCAGCACAGAGCCTGACAGGGGCTTGAACCCATGAACTGTGAGATCATGACCTGAGCCTAAGCTGGACACTCAACCGACTGAGCCACCCAGGTGCTCCTATAATTTCTGGACTCTTAATATGCTTCTTCCTTTCTTCTTGTTAGTAAAAGTATCGCTGTGAGTAAATATTTTTATTTATTTAATTACATTTTAAATCTTTTTTAAAGGTATATATATATATATATAAGATATGTGTGTATATATGTGTATACACACATTATTTTTGAGAGAAAGAGAGAGAGGGCATGGATGGGGGAGAGACAGAAAAAGGGAGACACAGTATCTGAAGCAGGCTCCAGGCTCTGAGCTGTCAGCACAGAGCCCAATGCAGGGCTTGAACTCACAGACTGTGAGATCATGACTTGAACCGAAGTCAGATGCTTAACGGATTGAATCACCCAGGACTATTTCTATTTGTGCCTTTAGATAAATGTTCTCTTGATGTTTTTTCAGGTTTCCTTTTTAATTCTCCAATCAGGGTAATTCCTATGGCTAAGTAGGAACTTAGCTGCAAGGCCCAAGGGCCTATTCTCTTGTCCTGTATGGGAGTTTCTACACCAAGTCTTCAGACCTGGATCTGACAATCAGATCTCGCAGCTTTGTGCACTGGCCATCAACAGCTTCTGCCAAATACTCCAGCTTTGTCTCCCTTCATTTCTGACAGCTGAGATTGCTTTGTCTTACTTTCAATTTCAGCCCTGTGTGTATTTAATACTATTGTAGATTTCATCTAGCATTTCACTATGTTTAGAGAAACACTGGGTTCCTTCTATGTCAATCAGTTTGCCAAAGAATGCTAGAAGATTCTCATAAGTAATGCAACATATTTCAGACAATGTGGAAATTCATGTTAGAAACCTAGAAAATAACAATACTGGTAATAACAACAGATGCGTAAAGAGTTTCGTCTGTGGCAGATAAACTCCTAGAGGTTTTTTATTGCACCATCTAATTCAGTCATCCAAATAACTCTATGAGACAGGCATCAGTATGCCTAATGTAGAGAAGCAGCAGCTGAAGTTAAAGGTGATTTCCAAGGTCACATAGTTGATTAGTGGTGGACACACAGAATAAAGTAGCGTTTTGGCTGCTGAGGCACATATCCTAAGTTCACCACTTATCAGGTGTACGACTTTGGGCAGGCTACCTAAACACTTTAAGGAAAATGGGAATGGAATTAATAATACTGAATGTAAAGATTAAGTAAGAATATCCTTAGAAAGTGCCTAATGCAGGGGTGCCTGGGTGGCTGAGTTGGTTAAGTGCCTGACTTCTGGTTTTGGCTCAGGTCATGAATGATCTCATGGTTCGTGAGTTCGAGCCTCACCTCAGGCTCTGTGCTGGTGGCACAAATCCTGCTTGGTATTCTGTGTCTCTCCTTCTCTCTGCCCTTCCTCTGCTTGCACACACTCTCTCTCTCTCAATATAAATAAATCAACTTAAAAAAAAAAGAAAGTGTCTAGTGCAGTGCCTGGCTCATACTGTACTTTGCAAATGTTGAGTTACTATACAGCACCCATTTAGAAGTCATATTTGTGTTGTGCAGGAAAATAAAAATCCTCTCTCTGGACACGAAGGGATGATGCCCTGCTTCTTTCTTCATATCCTAAGAAGCTAGCATCAGACATACTCTGACTCCCAGGTGCTTCCCTGTACACCTTCTGTGAACACATCAGTTATTCCCAACTTGAACTTCTGCATCTCTATTTGTATCTTCATACATTTAAAAGTCATATTACTTGCTAATTGATGCACTCATCGTGGTCCAACTCACTTCCTAGTGCACCAAAGTCATCTGTACGATTTCTCCTAAGTCACCAGAATTTCTGTAGACACCTCTGAAGGACTGACTTGGCCCCTCAGTTCAGGACAAGACAGAAGGGGGAAAGAGAAGGAGTGTATCTCAGGTGAGCTTCCCCAGAGGCAGATGTTGAAGTGGATTTTGCAGGTACAAGCTGTTTATGAGGGCTTGGCACCCGTGAGAGGAAGGGGAGGAAGCAGGATTTGGCAGAGCTAGATGCTGAACTACAAAGCAGGGCTGATAAAGTCTTGGGTAACCCCTGGGCAGATCTGGGACAAGTACTGTCTGTCAGAATTATCCTGCTTTAGGTCCAAATAACTAGACTTTTATGCCTGGCCTCACTTAGTCACTAGATGCCCCCTGAAAGGTGAAGTATTCTTCTGCAATCCAGGCAGACCTCAAAGGGTTTCACAGCCGGAGGCTCTCTGATGACTGTCCTACCCCACTGCTGGGCACCAACCTTCCTTGAAGAGGGATCTGGATGGTACATCTCTGCATCTTCCACAGGGAGGATTAAAACTAGACATGAGAATTTCATCAATATTCTAATGGACCTTAAGGCCATCACCAAAATGACTTCTTCCTTCCTCCATCTTGTGTGAGAGCTCTTTTAGTAGTTTGACTTTCCTACACGTAGTTATATGTTCCTGGAGGGCAATGTTCATAGCAGCATTATCTATAATAGCCAAATTATGGAAACAGCCCAAGGGCCCATCAACAGCCCAAGGGCCCATGAATAGATAAAGATGTGGTACACATATACAACGGAATATTACTCAGCCACAAAAAAGAATGAAATCTTGCCATTTGCAACAACAAAGATGGATCTAGAGAGTATAATGCTAAGTAAAATAAGTCAATCAGAGAAAGACAAACACCATATGATTTCACTCATATGTGGTATTTAAGAAACGAAACAAATGAACAGAGGGGAATAAAGAAAGAGAGAGAGGCCAACCAAGAAACATATTCAACTATAGAAAACAAACATAGTGACCAGAGGGGAGGTGGGGGGGGGCACGATGTGTGAAATAGGTGTTGGGGATTAAGGAGTGCACTTGTTGTGAGCAGTTCAGCCTGCTTCTGCTCTTTCACCAGCCACCCATCTTCTGTTCCTCTCTCTACATTCATGAAGAAAAGGGTATTTTAACCCTCTCAGCTTCCTTCGTCAAAATACTTGAGCTTATCATTCAGTTCTGAGAGTGTACAAATTGCTGGGAAGTATAACAGATAAGGATTTTGGGTTGCATGTGTTTGAATTTGAATCCTACGCTAGCCAGTCATTGTTGTGTCTTGTGCAGCTCCCTATTACTCTCAGAGACTTACTTTCTCTTTACTTTTCTTGGCAAAACAGGGTCATATGGTTATAAATAACCCACTTAATAGTATTGTAGCAAGAACACTATGGTACAACAGTTCAAAGCACAGACTGCAGGGTCAGGTTGCCTTGGTTAAAACCGCAGCTCTGCTCTCAACTAGCTTGTGAGTCTAGAGCCAAATTATTTAACTTTTATGGATGTGGTGGCACCCTATTTAATGCAAGACAATAACAGTGCCCAGGCTACAGAACTTTAGGAGAAGCGTATGGGTTAATGAGAGCAGTCCTGGATACACACTATGCCAGTGCTTGCTAAGATTATTCAAGGAGGCATCGAACATAAAACACCATGGAGGACACACAATTCAATTATGTACCAAGTCCTTGTTAGGGATCCAGAATATTAAAATATATAACCTCTGATTTTGAAAAAGTCATAACTTTGAGAAGAAGAAAAAAATCCTTAATAGAATAGAATAAATCAAACTGAAGCTCTGTACAGGGCACTGGAGGAGCTTAAAGTTCACAGCAGGCACTCAATCCATGTCCATTTCCTTCCTCTATTCCATTCTCCTTCTAAAGACCTCCCTTTGTCAAGTCCTTAAGTGGAGATGGGGTGACAAGATATAGGAGAGGGAAGAAGGGAGACTCTTACCCATTTTCCAGGTCTACTTACCCACCCCCATTTCAGGCAGCCCGGCAGTATAATACCAATTTGCATGCATATATGACATACTTTTGACATTTCAAGGTCCTTTCTTCTGTTCCTGCCAGCCAGATATGGGAATTATATACTTCTCCTCTATGGGTTGGTTTGACCTTTAGTGAAAGGCTGTACTAACCCCTGTGCTCACAAAGGAGTAAATACTCATGTCTTGTTGTCATAGAGTTTTAAGAACACGGGGACATTTGAAAATTAACTAAGCTGCTTAGCCAAAACCCACCCTCCCCAGGGGGGCTTCTTTGTTCTGCAGGCTAAATGGGACCTATCTGAATACCCCCCACCCCAACATAGCTGATTTGTTTGCCATCTCTCTGCACCTGGCTCTAATTGGCACTTTTCTTAGAAGTCTAATTTAGAACTTCAAATTTCTCCAATGCTGGTCAAGACTGGGCCAAGCCTCCTGAGGCCTACTTGGAAAGGCCAGCTGTGCCCTCTGGCTAGAAAGTCTGCCCTTCTTTTCTTTACCTTGCTGACTCCTGCTTGTTTTTTGACACTCAGTTGGGGCATCATCCTATCTAAGATTCTTTGTCTGTCTCTGTCTCTTGGCTCAGTTAGGTACTTCTTAGACGTCAGCAATAGCACTTCTCCCACTGGTAACATTTAGAATAATTCTCTTTCCCACGTCAACCATGGGATGCTTTTGTTTATTTTGTTCATCTGTTTGTTTTTGAAGCGGTTATTTACCTTTTGCTTATAGCCCAGTGCCAGCATGGTGGTGACCTGACATACAGTAGGTGTCCTCAATGTGGGATGAAGGTGTGATGAATGAGTGGATGAGCAAATGAACTTCCCAGACAGGTCAGGTATATAACTTAATGTAAAGATAACAGAGGAGATTCTAGGCCAAAAAAATATCCTCATAGACTTTCTCCTGGACTATGTCTCCCAGGGCTTCTAAGAGAGCCACGTTTAACCATCCAAAGATGAGGATAGCTCATGTCCCTCAGTAAAAGGCATCCAAACTTCTCTTGTTTTATATCTTTACCACATAAGGAATACAGGATTACCATAGGTTTATCAATGTAGGTAAATAAAACAAAGAGCCCAATCATTGCTAACATTTTCTAAATCAAATTCTTTCCAATACCTGAATGCTAAGAGGTATTTCTCACATGGGACTTACATTGTAGCGTAGAGTAAACAAAACTCTTAATCAAAGTTATATGGAAAATATATCTGGTTTTCTCTTAGCAAAGATCAATCAGTTGCAACTCATTGATGATAAATATTTTAGGTGCTAAGTAGTTTTTTAAAATATATATTAAAATATATATTTCCACGGTGGTGATGAATGAACAGCATGTGAAGGTACTTGATGCCACAGAACTATATACTCGACAGTGGTTAAAATGATAAATTTTATGTTATTTATATTTTACATACATAAATTCCAACACCCCTTCCTCCCCAGTGGTCAGTTTTGAAACTGTCCTGAATTAAGACTATAATACCAACGCTCAGTGGCCCAGGAGTGGCTATTTATAATGAAGTTTTGTGTCCTTAGCCCAAGAGAAACCTAAATGGCCCATAAGTAGATCTACCATGTGCTCTAAAACTGTCATCTTCTAGCTTTGCTGCTTTTATGCCCCCTAAAAATGTTTTTGAAAGCTAGGAATCCACCTAAACACTTCTAAGCTGGTATCTAAGATAATTTCATCACAGGTTTCAACAGTTGCAAAGAATGTATTTTAATTCTGCCATCTTTTAACTTTGAAATCTAAGGAGTGGCAATTTGATGCCATATGGATCTATAGAAAAACAGACACGGACAAGCTTTTTTTAAACAAATTTTATAAATTTCCTTTCTCCCTTCAAATTATATTTGCAATGCATTTTCCTCTTAAAATTTTATCCTAATGAAATATAATTTTATGCTCTAAAATGTTTTATTGGTGCATCTTGGTGGCTCAGTCAGTTGAGCATCTGACTCTTGATTTTGATTCAGGTCATGATCTCATGGTTCATGAGACTGAGCCCCCATGTTGGGCTTGGTGCTGAGCAGTGCGGAGCCTGCTTGGGATTCTCTCTCTCCCTCTCTCTGACCCCCACCCCCAACTTGTGCATATGACTCTCTCTCAAAATACATAAACATTAAAAAAGTTTTGTCAGTCTCTCATGACTTTTTGTGACAAAAATATGTCTATAAGTGTAAATCTTTAAGAAAAGTTTTCCGTAACTGTAAGTATTGAAGTTTTTCATTTGGACTGAGTTATCATTATAAGTAAAAAATAGATCAAGACAATAAAATATCTTCTAACTGATAAAAAATTACTAAAGTTAAAATTATAATTCAAAATACATCTCTGAGTGAGATGAATGACACCTCCTCCTCTAATTACCTGATGTATTCATGGATGAATATCACCAGTCACTAGAATAAATGAGACTCAGCCTATACTGCATTCCTATTTTTCATTTTTATAAATGCTTAAAACTGACAAACTTTTTCTCATAAATAAAGACATGAATGGAAGTTTTGTAATAGCAGTACT